GAAAATATAAAAAATCTGAAAACCGACGGCAAATAAAGTAAAATAAATCATGACCTGAATTCGAAAAAGTAGGGAAAATTAACAGGATACTAAACTTGTCTGATTTTTTAAATCCTAAAATCTTTAGTAAACTTTCTAATGACTCATTGTTCAAAAGATTTTTATACATGCTAAACAATTTGAACCTATACTTCAAATGTAAGTTTCGAGTCAGTGAGACGAGTCAGGAAGTCAGCGATCCACAGAAACTCCGCCTACCAGTATAGGATGGACGTCGCATGCTCAATGAAAATAGTTAAAGAACAAACAACAACGCATATCATTTATACCTTTATAGGTCCCAAGACTCAGTTTGTACTTGCTTCGTTCATTGGCCACAGAAAAGAAGCTGTACTCAGCATACGCGCTCTTTCCTTTGACATCTTGCAGGTCAACACGAAGTCTGTTCTTTGTTTGGCGAGTAAGTCGGTGGATCTTATCGAGACCCAACCAGAACTCGCCTTTGAGATTTCCAAAGCCTTTCTTGTAGTCGTTCCATCCTCGATAGAATTTCACTGAACCGTCTTGTCTTTTCTGAAAAACTGTCCATCCTCCTCCAGCGGTCTTCTGGTCACAGTAAACCTAAAAGAATTAAGCGTTCCTTTTAAGTTGTGATCAAAATGATTACATTTATGATAACTCGGCATGTTTAGTCTTACTGCTAATTTACAAATAATCATTTTGATGAAGTATATCTATAGGCGTTATTGTGATCCCAAATGATGATTATAATTTTAGTATCTTTAAGTATGTAAAACGTCATCTGAGTTTAGGATGTATTTAGACCTCAAGACCGTCCATAGTCAAGATAATAGGCCTATAACTGAATAACATACTGAGATACATATGACGAACAATTGAATGGTCGTCAATGTATATGTATTATCAGTATTACCTGAAATGCACCTTTGCCATCAGGATCTATCTTGTACACTCCACTTTGTTTATTGCCACGTTTCAGTACTTCTGCACAGTTCTTAGGAACAACGAGGGCTGCGAGAAAAATACCACATTTTAATCAATAATTTGTGTATAAAGAACGACAATAAAAAAGCTTTTCTATTCTTACCTTTAGAGCTAGACTTTGAAYTAGAGCTTGAGTTAGAGCTCGTGCGAAGGCTAGGCTGATAGTTGATGGCAAATTGTTTGAGTTTCATCTTCTTGAGTTCCCGTAAAATGGTCATGATTTCCTTCAAGAAATTTGGTCGATGGCTATTTGCAACAACGTGCAGCCAATTTCCCTTGTCTACTCGGCGCAGTGCTGTTTGTCCATAATGGACTACCAAGAGACTCATTACTACTATCTGAATCAATCCAATAGTCTTCATTTCATGCACTTCTAATTTCAGATGTAAGATCCAACCGAAGTTAGGATAAAAGTGATAAAAAATGTATTCATAGACTCTGATTCATCGCAGTGAGACTTCATCCCTGACATGTTTTTCTAACTTGTTTCGCTGTCACTGTGGAAACTGATATTTTGCTATCGATTGTGTAGAAACTTCCGCCTTTCTTGAGACGCGCGCGTGTACCAAACTGGTCCGTATATTTCCTGTAAGTACATCTAGTAAAGCTAGTCTACAGCAACGGACACTTCTATAGCCTGAATAAAAGAAAAGTGCTCACTGATATAAATGGAAGAGACAAAACCATTTAGAAATAGAGACAAAACCATTTAGAAATAGTGACGCCTTTTAGAAATGTGCAGCTAGCGGTAAACTAGTGTGAGCTCGTCGGTCAGTTTCTAAAGAAACAGTTGAGTAAAAGATAAATTCTAACACCGTAAAAAATAAAAAATAGGTGAAACAACTTACTGACATTCCGGACGTTAATCCTTCGTCGGATTTTTAGAAATAACAAAAATGTTCTATTTCTCTATGACAACGTTACCGTTACGTTAGTACTGTTTACCGCGGTGATACCACAAAAGTGTGTGGCTTGAAAATATGCTTGAAAATATGCTGCAACTTCGCGGCGATTTTCGATCCTCGCAACAATCGCAAGGYTGTTTACACGTACGATTTTAGTTGCGAGGGGGCCTTTACGAGTATATGTATAGGAAATTGCACGACCTTGATAGTACAATTTGGAATTAATAGTCACGAGTAATAGGGCTCGTGCAATTACGACGAACTTTCAACATTACGAGTGACTATTAATTCCAAATTGTA